GAACCCTCGCTGTCCTCGAGGAGGGGGATTATGCTGCAAACATACCAAACACTGGTGGGTGCGCTGCGCGATATCCTCTACCACATTCGGCCAACGCATACTACGCAAAATTAATTGTGTCATAGCGGTCGCAGAATGGTGACCAGATGTAGGGTGCATGTGAAATATTGTGAATACTTCCTCTTGCAGGCTTGGGGGTATGCACACAACTGGATTTTTGTCTGGGGGCGAGTACATTATTGTGTGTGTGCTTGCGTGTGTGTGTGTGCTTGCGTGTGTGTGTGCTTGCGTGTGTGTGTGCTTGCGTGTGTGTGTGCTTGCGTGTGTGTGTGTGCTTCCGTGTGTGTGTGTGCTTAGCGTGTGTGTGCTTGCGTGTGTACGTAGTCCAGAGAGATGTTTTTCCAACAGGTTACAACCCATAATTTCATTGTTTCCACAGCCACCTGCGGCATGCACACTTGTTGCTTCTCCTAGGCGTGAGTCTGAGCGAGTCCTTAGAAAATGTGCGACTGGTGTACGAGAGAGTGCACTTAGGGTCCCTTTACACTGTATTGCACACCAGGGTAAGTCCTGTCCACAGCCCAGAGCTCACTCTACATCACTCACAGCCTCACTCCCTCTACATCACTCACAGCCTCACTCCACTTCATACCCAGCTTCACTCCCAGGCAGATAAAGCTCCCTCTTGTGGAGTCCTAGAGAGTAGTGGTTACTGCACTCGCCTCGCAAGCGAGAGGACCCGGGTTTGATTCCTGGCCAGGGCAAAACATTAAGGCAAGTTTCCTTACTCCACACACGCACATCCCTCTGTTTACCCGGCAGTAAGTAGGAACATGGTTGTTAGTCGATTGGTGGATTGCTTTCCAGGGGTAATAATCGCTTCGAAACAAACAAAATTTAGTCACTCCGCAACTTTTGTGGGACACTGCTGTGCACAATTGGCTGCCACCTTTCACCCACAAAATCCACAGTCACTACACTTTACAATATATGCTGTGAAGCGCTTTGGGATGTTTCAGTGACGTGATAAGGCTTATCATCCTAGAATCATAGAATCTTACAACTCTGGGTAAAAAAAATTGTCTCCTCATTTCCCCTCTGGTTCTTTTGCCAATTATCTGTATCCTCTGGTTACCGACCCACCCACCAGAGGAAACAGTTTCTCCCTATCTACTCTTATCAAAACCCCTCATAATTTTGAACACATCTGTTAAATCTACCCTCAACCTTCTCTGTTCTAATGAGAATAATATCAGCCTCTCTTGCCTAGAAATTGACTATTTCTAGAAATTGAATAGAAAGAGAGGGTAGGAGAAAGAGAAGAGAGATGGGAGAAAGAGGCGATGAAGAAATATATTTAGGGGAGAGTGGATAGGAGAGAAGACAAGAAAATAGAGGAGAAAGAGATGAGAGAGGAAGAAAAAGAGAGAGAGGAAGAAATATATATAGAGGACAGGGGAGTGAGAAGGAAAGGGAACCGAGAAAAAGAGTTACCCTTACAAACGCTCAGGGACGCTACCCTGCGTGAGGGGCGCTTTATAAATAGAAGTTGTTGTTTGTTGTGCATTTATCCATTGCTGACGTTGCCTGCGTTTGACTCTCTCTCTCTGGGACAGAGGTGGGAGCCTCACCCACTTCGCACAGACACCATCCCTCAGTTGCTGCTACAGGTGTGTGACGCTGTGATCTACCTTCACTCCCGAGGCTACATCCATCGCTCACTCACCTCCCACGCTGTCCAGCTTGTCTCCCCCACAGTCGCCAAACTCTCCAACCTTGAGTACCTGCAAGAGAGGTAATGACCTGGGCCAATAGAAAAGTGCGGCCGCACGTTTTCCGCAGAATCCGCCACAACAGGCCTCATCCGCTACATACACGTTACAAGCAACGCCCTCCGCTACAGACCTGCACACACATTGTGCTAGGCCCCACTACAAGCCTGTGCACACAGTGTGCTAGGCACTGGGCCTCTGCGTGCTGTTTGCTCGACCCTCTACTGTGGGTGGAGCGGCTCCGGTCGCAGGCGTGCGGGGAGTTTTGGGATCGCGGAAGTGGCGTGAGCGTGAAATCAGCTTCGCCCGCTAGTGAGTGACCCACAATGCAAATACCAGCTGCAGGACACTACTGCTGTCTATTTGTTCAACTCCCGGCCTAAACTGAGCTCCTGAGATGATTCTTGCTAATTGCTGTACCTTTCAAATTAATATTTTAGTATTTTAAACATAGCTACATGTTCAGGGACTATATGGCTAGTTATAATCCTGGTTGTTTGAAAAAATGTGTTTCTCAACAGCACCAACCAGCCCACTGCAAAATGCACCCCCCGCCCACTCGCAATTTCCCACAAAATTTTGGAAACGCCCTGCAATTTGGGGCAAATATGTTGACAGTTTTCTATTGGCCCAGGTGACTCAGGCAGAAATCCACCACCGTAAACAGTCTGACACGGGCAGAAACCGGTCACCATGATCAGTCGGGTATCCTGACACACGGAAACCCGTCGCCGTGATCAGCCAGATGTCTGACCTTGTTCCCGTCTACCTGTTCAGGCAGACATTAAAGATCTTTCGCAGCGCCGTCGGGAAAACAAAAGGGAGTTTCTCTCTCTCTGTGAGAATAAACCAAATAAAATCGATCGCTCGATCCACAGGTATTTGTGGGACAAACTAAATGTCGCGTTTCACCCACAAAACACAGTCACTGCACTTTACAGTGTATCCTGTGAAGCACTTTGAGAAATCTCAACGACGTAGTAAGGCACTATAGTAGAGTCCCATAGAGTAGTGGTTAGCGCACTCACCTCACAAGCCAGAGGATCCAGATGGGGTGAAACCTTGGACAAGTTTCCTTGCTCCACATGCCTCTGTTTACCTGGTAGTAAGTAGGACCTGATTGTTAGTTGATTGGCGGATCATTTTATGGGGTTAATAATCTCTACCCTCCAAAAAAAATTTGGTCACTCAATCCATGACCGTTTGTGGGACACTGCTGTGCAAAATTGGCTGCCACATTTCGCCCACAAAATACACAGTCAATTCACTTTACAGTGTATCTGTCAAGCACTTTGAGACTTGTCAACGACATGGTAAGACGTCTATATCAAATAAAAATATAATAATCATAATCCTTCCATTTGATATAGTGCTTAACACTCTGTTGATACGTTTCAAATTGCTTCACAGAATATACTGTAAAGTGTAGTGACTGTATTTCGCACAGCAGTGTCCCCAAAACAGTGCTATATTAAATGCACAGATTATTATTATTATAGTTGGTTTTGATTCTCCTGGCAGGGCTGAAGATGGACGCTGGTCTGGGGGCCCAGGACTGCCCATTCCTCACCAGCTGTACAACTGGCTGCCCCCCGAGGTCATCAGGAATCAGCGAGCGACCCCGAGTTCTGACCTCTACAGTTTCTGCACTGTTCTGCAGGAGGCCTTGACAGGTAGGGAAACATGAGGCACTGGGGGAGGGCCAAGAGGAGGGAGGGGCAAGGTGCTTGGGGAGGGGCCAGGGGAAGCAGAGAGTGAAGTGGGGGGAGAGAGGGGATAATGCACTGGGGGAGGATGCAGTGATGGAGCAGGGGAGGTGGTGTTGGGGTGGGGGGTAGCTGGGGAAGGAGAGGGTGAGGTTCTTGGGGCGGGGCCCTGGGAGGGAGGGAGGGGACGAGGTGCTGGGGGAAGACACAGTGCTAGAGGAGGGACCAGGGGATGAGGTGTTGGGGGGAGGGTCTAGGTGAGGGAGGGAACAAGATGCTGATGGAGGCGCTGTGGGGAGGCGATGCTGGGAGATGTTGACCGGTGACCTGGCTCTTGGCTGTACAGACACTGTGCCCTGGGGGGGTGTGGATGGCCTGACGGTTCGACACCTGCTGGATTCTGGACACTGTCTGTTTGCGGAGCCTCGCCTGCCCAGAGCATATTATACCCTGGTGAGGGCCGGCCTGAGCCTGAGACAGAGAGACCGCTCACTCAGTCTGCAGGACCTCCGCTATACACTGCGCCAGGACATCAAGGTATCTCATCCCTTCCCTCCCTCTCTCCCCCCTACCTTCTTCCCCTCGTCCCTCCCTCGCCCACCTCACTCCTCTACTCCCTCTCTCCCTCACCTCTACCTTCCCTCCCTCAACTTGTTTCTCTCCATCTTTTGATTTTAATCCACCTCTACCTTCTCTCTCTTTCATTTGATCTCTCCCACCACCCTCACCTTCCCTCCCTCCTTCACCTTGTCTCTCCCTCTACCCTTTTCCATCTCTCTTTCCTTCACTACCCTCCCTCCTTCCCTCGCACATCTACTTCTCCTCTCCTCCTTTATTTCCCCTCCCTGCTTTTCTGTGTGTGTGTCTCAGTAATGGAGACAGGGACCATTCAGCTGTGTGTGTGGGCGAGTGTGTGGGGGGTGGGGAGTGTGTGGTGAGAGTGTGTGAGGGATGAGCATGAATGAGTGGTGAGTGTGTGTGTGAGTGTTTGTATGTGAGTGTGTGTCAGTGACTGATTCCTGTGGCTAATCTCATGGACTTTGTCTCAGGGCTCTGAGCGTGTGTCAGGAGTAGAGTCGGTGACGAGTGGAGGCGGGGTCCCTCATGGAGCCAGACCCCCCTCGCTGTATCCCAGGCTCCCCACGGACCCCCACAAAGAGCCTGACCAGACAGACGGACCCGGCATGGTAACACTGCCACGCCAAGCAACCAGGTCCCAGCCGGGCAGCGCTGCGGGTGAGCAGCTTATTATAATAATATTGTTCATTATATAATAATTGTATAATAATCCTCAAATCACACCCGGCACCTTTATTGTCGGCGAGACTTTTGTGACTGCGACTGTGTGTGTGAGACTGTGTGTGCGTGACTGTGACTGTGTGTGTGTGACTGTGTGTGTGTGTGTGTGACTGTGAGACTATGTGTGTGTGTGAGACTGTGACTGTGGACTGTGTGTGTGTGTGTGACTGTGTGAGACTGTGTGTGTGTGTGTGTGTGACTGTGAGACTGTGTGTGTGGGAGACTGTGTGTGTGTGGGAGACTGTGAGTCTTGAGGACGTTCTGGATGATCTGCAGCCTGTGCAGGGAATAGTTGGGAAGGCCGACACGCAGAGTTGGCGTAGTCGAGCGTAGATGAGAGTTTTCCCGGACTGATGGGTGAGGCAGTGGCGGAACCGGGCAATGTTGCGGAGGTGGGGAAGGCAGAACGGGTCATGGGACGGATGTGGAATAGAAAGGACAGTTGAGAGTCAAACAAGACGCCAAGGTTTGACGTTCAACTGCAGAAAGTTAGCTCTCATCCAGGACTTGATGTCTACCAGACATTCTGTCAGGACAGCAGTGGTTTTGGACTCGATGGTGGAGGCAGAGAGGTACGAGTAGGTGTCATCCACATACATGTATCCCACAAACAGCCATGAAGTCAGTGACCCATTTGTTTTAATCTGGAGGATTGTTGGCCAAGACGCTGGGAGAAACTCTTTTAATCGTGCCATGAATGACTACCTGAAGAGGTAGACCAGAGACCTCGGTTTAATGACCCTGAAACATTGCTCAAATAAATTCTACCGCGCGTCAGCCACAATGGTTGGGCTGCCTGGGATGGCAGTGGCTCTTTGCCGGGTTCTGGCGGTCATGTTATCACATTCTCCCACGTGTGCTTGTGTTCCACCACTTTTTTTTGTTTTAAACCAGATTTACCATTTACGTATACCAAAGAAAATTTGATTGGAATGCCGCGTGGAGTCAAATGCTGTGACCGCAAGCGGTTGTACGAGCAGATTGAAATCGAAGGTCGTGAAATATTTCGCAATAAAAATATAAACTAAATCGTTACAGAACATTGTGGCTATTTGAAGCACTTAATTATTTAGCGTTAGATTGTGCCATTTCCCTTTTCATAAAATCTTACAGCGCAGAAGGAGGCCCTTTGGCCAACGTGCCTGTTTAAAAGAGCTACCGACTAGTCCCACTCCCCCGCTGTTACCCCATAGTCCTGCAAATTTTTCCTTTTAAGTACTATCTAATTTTGAAAGCTACCATTGAATCTGCTTGCACCACCCTTTCAGGCAGTACTTTACAGATTGCAACAACTCTCTGTGTGTAAAAAAAAGTCTCCTCGTCTCCCCTCTGTATGCCAATTACCTTAAATCTGCATCCTCTGGTTACCGACCTGCCCGCCAGCGGAAACAGTTTCTCACTATCTACTCTATCAAAACCCCTCATAATTTTGAACACCTGTATCAAATCTCCCCTCAACCTTCTCTGCTCTGAGGAGAATAACCCAGCCTCTCTAGCCTCTCCACCTGATTATAGTCCCTCATCCCTGGTATCATTCTTGTGAATCTTCTCTGCACCCTCTCCAAGGCCCTGACGTCCTTCCTAAACTATGGAGCCCAGAATTGACATAATACTCCAGCTAAGGCCTAACCAGCCTTTTTCGGGCTAATAATCCCCCTTTTTTTAAAAAAAGATAGTAATTTGGTCACTCAATCCATGACTGTTTGTGGGACACTGCTGTGCGTAATTGGCTGCCGCGTTTTGCCCACAAAATATCCAGTTAATTCACTTTACAATATATTCTGTGAGACGTCTCAAAACGTGATAAGGCGCTATATCAAATGTAAGGATTATTATTATAATTAATGATTGTTGGTAAATTTGGAGGATTCTTGAACTAGACACCAGGAGCAATTCTGTTTTGATTGATTTCATGAACCTTAATGTCCACCTGAACTGGCAGAGGGTGCCTCAGTCTCATCCCAAAGATGGTCAGTGGAAAAACTGCATAATATATATCCTAAAAATCCTGTGTTTCTGTGTCCGGCTGTAGTGAGGGCCAAGCTGGCTAATTGCTGCCCAATAACAGACTCACACAGTAGCACATGCGAGGTATGGGTTGCTCAATACAACAGTATTTTAAATGAATATAGCAGTGGAAATGTGTGTGTGTGTATATATATATAAATATATATTTATATAACAGTATATCCTGTGATGCGCTTTGAGACGTCTCGAAGACATGATAAGGAGCTATTTCAAATGCAAGGATTATTGTTATATTATAAATGTTCATGGAATCATAGAATATTTCTAACATGGGAAGAGGCCATTTGTCCCATTGTGTGCTGGAAATTGGAAAACAACACAAATAGGTGGTGGACGTGGGAAGAAGACACTGCTGAAGTTGACGGCAATTCTAACCAGCTGATGTTTCTGCAAGTTGCCCTGGCAGTGAGCCATGGGCTCTTTCTTACTTGAGAACGTGTTTTCTTTTCTCCTCCTTGTGTGAGAGGGCGGGGGTGGGTTGGGGGGTTGTGAGCTGACAGAGAACAGCTGCTGCAAGAAGAGCAAAACTAAGGTAAACTTGCCCAAATATCCTCTTTAAACAGGAAGCACAATATTCCCAGAATGAATATTGCATGCTATGCTGAGTTAGATAGACCCTTTCAGCAGACACAAGGAGATCACTTGTATCATTGGAGGTGGGTCTGTCAGTTTTAATACTAGTCACCGGCTTTAGAGTAAGTGAGTTGTGGTTGTAACTTTGTGCCAAATAATAATCCTTGCATTAGATATAGCGCCTTAGACATTGGGACATCTCAAGGCACTTCACAGAATATATTGTAAATTGTAGTGACTGAATATTTTGTGAGCAAAATCAGCAAAATCAGCAGCCAATTACGCACAGCAGTGTCCCACAAACAGCCTTTAGACTAAATGAGTTGTGGTTGTAACATTGAGCCAGACCATGTTAATAATAATCTGTGCGTTCATATAGTGCCTTATCACATCGTCAAGATGTCTCAAAGTGCTTCACAGGATATACTGTATAGTGGAGTGACAGTATTTTGTGGGTTAATGGGACAGCTGCACACAGCAGTGTCCCACAAACAGCCATGGAGCGAGTGACCAGTTTTATTTGGGGATTTTTTGATCAGGACACCGGAAGAGAAAACTCCCTTCTCTTTTCGAATAGCACTGTGGTATCTTTAACTTCCACCTGAACGGGCAGATGGTTTTACATCTCATCCGAAGGATAACACCTCCGGCGATGCAGCCCCTGCCCCAGCACTGCATTGGATTGTCAGCTTAGACTATGATTCAAGTATTGATGTGGGGCTTGAATCCACAACCAGACTCAAAGGCAAGAGTGCTACCACTGAGCCAGGCATTAATATCATTCACCATCTTTGGGATCCTTCAACCCTTTGATAAATTGGTTGAGTCTGCTAGTGTTTATCATTCACTGCATTTACTCTTCAAGGACCACAAGGTCTCAGTGTAGGTTAAGCTTGTGGTGTATAAGCCATGTCCAAACACTTCTACATGGTTCTGAGCTCATGGGCAACCAGTGGAGAGGACCCATTGGCCCATTTGTGAAGTCCAGCACCAAGCAGTGAGGTGGATTTGTGTTAAATAGAGCAAGTGGCTCCAGGGAGGAAGGGAGGGCTCTGGGTTACATTGGTCTATTACTATGTACCTGGAGACAGAGTCAGCTTTCAACCTGTCTCCAAAATTAGGTAAGCAGGGTGTGTCCCTCCAGGGAGAGAGAGAGAGAGAGTGCGAATGGAAATTTCCATGTGTAGGTAGGTGACAGACCAATTCGGAACTCAAGTCTGGTTTGGATACTCTTACCCTTGGTGCTGGGTGTCTGTATGTGTCTGATACAGATACCTGGCTGACCTTCACTGTGTTTGTGGCTGTGGGTGGTGGGTGACAATATTTGTAAGCTGCAATCTAAACTGGTTTTGTGTCTTGCAGGGCTGTGACCCCTTTGCCCAGACTCAACGGAGCAAACTGCAAAACCGCCGAGCCCGCATTAACCAACAGATTAACAAGGAGATGCGAATGCGAGCAGGAGCTGAGAATCTATTTCGGTGAGTCCTGCCATGATCTGGGATGTACAGATGCCTGGGGACTTCTGAGAGATTGTGTGATGTGCTGGGTGGGGTGTTTCAATTTTATTCATGTTTTTGCACCAATTTCTTTAACCCCCACCCCCGTCCCCTCTCTCCCATTTGATACAGCGCCTTATCACATCAAGAAATCGCAAAGCTCACCGGATTTACTGTGAAGTGCAGTGACTCTAATTTTGTAGGAAAATGCAGCAGAAACAAGTGGACATAGATTTTAGATAAATGGCGAAAGAATTTGAGGGGAGATGAGATTTTTTTTACACACCGAGTTGTTACGGTCTTGAATGCACTGCCTGAAAGAATGCTACCAGGGATGAGGGACTACAATTATGTGGAGAGGCTAGAGAGGCTGGGTTATTCTCCTTAGAGCAGAGAAGGTTGAGGGGAGATTTGATAGAGTTGTTCAAAATTATGAGGGGTTTTGATAAAGTAGGTAGTGAGAAACTGTTTCCACTGGCAGGCAGGTCGGTAACCAGAGAATACCAATTTTAAGATAATTGGCAAAAGAACCAGAAGGGAGATGAAGAGACTTTTTTTTTACACAGAGAGTTGTTGCGGTCTGGAATGCACTGCCTGAAAGGGTGGTGGAGATTGATTCAATAACAACTTTCAAAAGGGAATTAGATAGGTACTTGAAAAGGAAAAATTTGCAAGAATATGGGGAAAGAGCGGGGGAGTGGTACTCATTGGGTAGCTCATCGAACTGGCACAGGCTGTAATATGTGCTGTAATATTCTATGATCATGAAGTGAATGACTAATTGAATCTGGGGGAATTTGGCCAGGACATTGGGAGAAGAGAGAAACTCCCTTCTCTTTTCCAATAGTGTAAACATCTCGACAATGCATTGCCACCTGCACCCTCCCCAGCACTTTTTCCCCCAATTTAAGTTGTGCAATATGACAGCTGAGCAGTTTGTCAGTTCTCTTAGAACAGAATTAGATAGGTGCTTGACAGGAACCAATATTAGAAGGGGACAGGCTGCTCTCTCCTCACTCGGCTCCATTATCTCCCCCACTCGTTCTAGTGGCTCCCCAACCACTAGGTTGGTTAGAAGTGAAATCTGAAACTCTTTCCTCAGGCCAAAGGTTTTATTGGCTGATGTGTGATGTTGCTGCAGGGCCACAACGAACCACAAGGTGAAGGAGACGGTGGCGCTGGAGCTGAGCTTTGTCAACTCCAACCTACAGTTGCTGAAGGAAGAGCTGGAAGAACTCAATAGCTCGGTGGAGGTGTATCAGAACGAAAAGTGAGTATCCGTTCAGTCACTTCTTCTGCTTTCGATTTGTTTCAGAAACTCAGTACTGTCCAAAGGTTCAGCCAGGAATCCGTGAGAAATCTGTTTTTCTTTGTGATTTTTTTTGTGGGGTAAGGAATGGTAACAACTCTGCATTGATACAGGACCTTATCAATCATCAATGCCTCGGTGTGCTTCACAAATGTACTGTGAATGTCACATCTTGGAGAGGGTGCAGAGGAGATTTACTGGGATGGTACCAGGGATGAGGGACTTTAGTTATGTGGCAAGAACTACAAAACCTTGGATTGTTCACCTTGGAGCAGAGAAGGTTAAGGGGAGACTTAATAGAGGTGTTCAAAATTATGAGGAGTTTTGATAGAGTAGCTAGGGAGAAACTGTTTCCTCTCGCTGGTGAGTCAATAATCAGAGGACATAGATTCACGGTAATTATCAAAAGAACCAGAGGGGAGATGAGAATTTTTTTTTTACACAGAATTGTTACGGTCTGGAATGCACTGCCTGAAAGGGTGGTAGAAACAGAATCAATAACTTTCAAAAGGGAATTAGCCAGGCAGTTGAAAAGAAGAAAAGTGCAAGGATATGGGGAAAGAACAGGGGAGTGGGACCGATTGGATAGCTCTTCCAAAGAGCTGGCACAGGCACGATGGGCCAAATGGCCTCCTTCTGTGCTGTAATGTTCTATGATTCTATAATGTGGCAGCCAATTTGCGCACAGCAATGTCCAAGAAACAGTCAATGAAGTGAATGACCAATTTTATTTAGGGGATATGTTGACCATGGAGTTGTGTGGTGACTGGACCAGTCACCCATTTCTTCTAACCAGTATACAGTTGCGAGTAAATGCTACGTGTAAGCTTGATCAAGTCATCTTTGGAGCGAAATAGCTTAATTTTATACATTTGTGTTGGTCAGCCATGTGTCTGACACATGCACAGGAATGTAAGCCCATTGGAAAAAGGCAATTCTCGGGTTTATATCTAGAGGCAAATAGTGTAAAAGCATGGAAGTAATGCTCCAGGACCTTGCTTTGGTCTTTGGAGCGTTTGTGGTTTTGGCCACTCCATTTACAGGAAAGCTGTAAAGGCAATAGAAAATATTTTAGCCAGAGAGTTGTTACGGTCTGGAATGCACTACCTAAAAGGGTGTTGGAAACAGATTCGGTAATAGCTTTCAAAAAGGGAATTGGATAGGTATTTAAACAGGAAGAATTTGCAGGGCTATGGGTTAAGAGCAGAGGAGCGGGACTAGTTGGTAGCTCTTTTAAAGAGCCGGCGCAGGAGGAGGCCATGATGGGCCGAATGGCCTCCTTCTGCGCTGGAATTTTGTTGTTGTAAAATTCTATGAAAGGAAACAGCATAGATTGATAGGGTGTAACCAAGAATGGGGGGGAGGCGAGGAGTGACGAGAAATTGGGACTGATTTCACTTGATCTGAGGTGAAGTGGTGACTGGATGGAGGTCTTTTAGATTATGAAGGATTGCGATAGAGTAAATAGTGATAGATTGTTTCCACTAGTTAGTAACTGGAGAACACAACTTTAATTGAATTCACAAACATTAATTATTAATAATAATCCTTGCATTTGATATAGCACCTTATCGAGGCTTTGCGATGTCTCAAAGTGCTTCACAGAATATACTGTAAAGTGATTGACTGTATATTTCACGGGCAAAATTAAAGGGAGGTTAGAAAATTATTTTTGGGGCTAAAATCTTAGGCAAGTTTCCTTACTCCACACGCCTCTGGTTACCTAGCTGTAAGTAGGAACACAGTTGTTAGTCGATTGGCGGATCGCGATAATAATCCTTTCAAAAAAAAATTGGGGCACTCGATCCACCACTGTTTAGATACTGCTGTGCGCAATTGGCCTAAGCATTTCGCCCACAAAATACAGTCCACTTTACAGTAGATTCTGTGACGTGCTTTGAGACGTGTCAGATCATCATTATTGTTATAAAATAATAATTGTAATCGGAGGGTAGTGAGAATCTGGATTGTGAAAAGTGATTGCGGATCCTGCCATAACCACTGTGTTTTGCAGGGCGCGCCATGTCCTAATACATCCCCCTGGGTGTGAAACCCACTTCTCTGAACCTCTTCCTTTGTTATTTGTGATTCGCTCTTTGAGAAGCAGCTTTGGGCTGGTGGAGGTTAGCGGGTGACTGCTGTGCACGATTCCTGTGCTCACGCTCACAAACTCGTGTGGCCTGTTTGTTTTGTTCTCGTTATTCCTGATCCTGCAGAAGTTTCCCACGTAACTCAGCACAGTGAAAGCTGCACTCCCATAAAGAGTTTCTTTCATAAGGGCTGGTTGATGGCATGTTTTTGGTCACACACGGCCTCGTTAGGGAGGATTGCTGACCTCTGCTCTCCCTCCTCATTAATTCTATCTCCTGAGAGGCCCCTCTGGGTATTCCTGAGAAAGTACTGCAGGAGGTGGTGGCTGAGTGGCTGGCTGTGTGATCAGAATGTGACGTAACAAAATAATAATAATCCTTGCATTTAATATAGTGCCTTATCACATCTTCGAGGCATCTCAAAGCGCTTCACAGAATATGCTGTAAAATGAATTGACTGTATATCTTGTGGGTGAAACGCAGCAGCAAATTGTGCACAGCAGTGTCCCACAACAGTCCCGTTGATTGAGTGACCAAATTATTATTTTTTTTNGGAGGGATTTTTAACCCCAGAAAAGCGACCGGCCAATCGATTAACAACCGGGTTCACTGCTAGGTAAACAGAGGCGTGTGGAGCAAGGAAACTTGCCTGACGTTTCGCCCTACCGGGAATCAAACCCAGGTCCTCTCGCTTGCTAGGCGAGTGCTCGAGTCACCAAGCTGCAGGACTCCACATTGAATGGAGTAGACTGCCAACAGAGGGGAGGAAGCCAGAGTGAAGAGAATAGAGGCTGGCATGGAGTGAGTGGAGGAGTAAGGCAGTGCCAGCTCTGGAGTTGGCTGTCGAAAACAGCCGTTTGACAAAGAGAAGAACGAGGCGGGGTGAATACATTGTTTAGTAACCGTGCACCTCAACCCGTCTGTCATGCATTTTATTGCTCTCAACTGTATGTTTTTCTTTGAAGGGGGAATAGCTCATTGAAACAGATGTACCGGAACCTCTCAAACAGGTGGGTGTGAGCTGTCTGACGTTTGCGCTGCACTGGGTTGAGAGGAGTTTCTGAATTACTTTTCAGACGGGATGGAAAGAAATTTAATCTAATCGAGGTGAACACTTGGCTGGGTTCCTGTGTCAAGGACTCGCTTCAACTGCAATCAAAGATGCATAATCCCCATCCTGCCATTCCAAACACCTGGCTACATTTCACTTGGAAGGGATGAGAAGGAGATTTACTTAGCGTGTTTCTCAGGAGAGTCAGTCTAACAAGCCTGTTTTACCAGTTTATTTCCTGGTTCTGTTGTGAGCTAATAGATACTTGGGAACAAAATGGTATTGAGGGTGGGGGTGTGGTTTTCCCTTCCTAACCCCTCAGTACTCTTACTCTGCACGTATTTATCTATCTCCCTTTTAAACATTGATTCTACCGCTTGGTGCTGTGCTCCACATTTTCAATACTTTCTACAATACAATATAAATGTACATTGATACAGTGCCTTTCACATCGGGAGGTGTATGAGCACCATCATTTTCATGGCCGATAATGATCAACCATCGCCATGTTCGTTGGCATATCTTATGGATGGAGAGTTAGAAACGAGGCAAAAATGTACCTCTGACAGCGTGGAATCTTGTAGTGTATTGTTTAGAGCACTCGCCTCGCATGTGAGAGGACCCAGGTTCGATTTCCGGGCGGGGCGAAACCTTAGGCAAATTGCTTTACTTCACACGCCTCTGTTTACCTAGCAATAAGTAGGAACCAGGTTCGTTGATTGACGGATGACTTTCCAGGGATAATAATCCCTCAAAAAAAATGTGGTTACTCAATCCACAACTGTTTGTGGGACACTTCTGTGCGCAATCGGCTGCCACATTTCGCCCACAAAATATACAGTCAATTCGTTTTACAATATATTCTGTGAAATACTTTGAGACATCTCGAAGACGTGATCAGGCCCTATACCAAATGCAAGGATTATTATTATCAGAGTAGCAGTCATTTTAAATGGATTGAACCGTAGATCACAACCTGCCGATGGAAGAGTTGCTATTTAGCGGAGGGAGGATTTCTGTAACAATAATGAAGACTTTTGAAAGCAGAAGTGATCAAAGAGCTGTTTATGTTGCAGTGAATCTGTCAGTGTTCCCATGATTCCTCTGGGCCTGAAGGAAACAAAGGAAGTGGACTTTACAGCTGCTGTGAAGGTGGGTGATTTTCCCTTTAATCGTGACACCTGGAGTCTGCAATGTTACTGCAAATAACTTGTGTGTAAATAATTTATTGTTCAATATTAAACATGGTTGTCTGTCCCTTTGGCTGATCTGGTATTACACCAGTTCAAGCCAGGCTCCACTGTCTTCCTATGGCCGAACAGCTGGATTTATTTTACAAAAACGAGCAGGTTATTAATGAGGTTGCTTTGGTTTTGACCCTCGGCAGGATTTTATCAGGGAGCACTATCATGAAGATGGCTCAAAGTATGATCAAGAAATGAAGGAGCTGCTGGACCTGCGGCAGGTAGGTTGAACAACAACAACTTTTGCATTTATACAGCCCTTCACGTGGGGCAGTGTCTCGGTGCACTTAACAATTGCGTAGCCTGACGCCGAGCCAGGGGGAGAGAGGAGGTGACCGTAAGTACAATCGAAGAGGTAGGCCTTCAGTCGTGACTTAAAAGAGGGGAAGGAGGAGGGATTGAGGGAGAGATTTCCGAAGATTCGGGGTGTAGTGGCTGAAAGTGGGGCCGCCGATGGTGGAGCGGAGAAGACGATGGAAAAACAGGAGGACAGGGCTAGCCAAAGGGAGGCAGCAAGCAGTGGATTGGGAAGTAAGCAGTTCAGAGAGGTAGGGAGGTGCCAAAGCGTGAAGGGTTTGTAAGTGAGTGAGACATAACATACCATAACACATAGGAGCAGGAGTAGGCCATTCGGCCCTTCAAGCCTGCCCCGCCATTCAATCATGGCTGATCTTCTAATCTAACTCCAGCTAATAACCTGACCCTGCCTTAACCCCATATCCCTTAATCCCTTTTGCAATAAGAAATATATCTATTTCAGTCTTGAATATGTTCAAGGACTGAGCGTCAACAGCCCTTTGGGGTAGCGAGTTCCATACATTCACCACCCTTTGAGTGAAGAAGTTCTTCCTCAACTCAGTGGAGCCTGACTGCTGTGATATGGAATTTAGTGTGAGTGAGAATATGGGTGGCGGAGTTCTGTGTTAGTTGTAGTTTGTGGGTAGTGGAGAGGGGAGACTGGCGAGGATAGTATTGGAGTAGTCAAGGTGGGAGGTTACGAAGGTGTGGACAAGGGTTTCGGCTGCATTGTCGGTGAGATACGGTTGGAGGCTGGCAATGTGATGGAGGTGAGGAAAGCAGTCTTAGTTAGGGACCGAATGTAGGGGAAAAAGGACAACTAGTTGTTGAACCTGATGCCCAGGTTACGTACAATTTTGTTAAGTCTGAGGGATAGGTCGGGGAGGTTGAAGAGGGCAGAGCCGCAGGAGAGAAGATGTTGACAGAGCCAAGGATATCAACTTTCAGCTGCAGGAAGTTCATGCTCATCCAGGCCTTGGTGTCTGACAGACAAGCTGACAGAACATCTGCAGACCTGGAGTTACAGCTGGAGGAGGAGAAGTAGATTTGGGTGAAGGTTCCTTGGGGACATAAAGGATGAGTCGTTCAAGCCAAAGGAAAGCACTCAACTATTTGGGACTGAAGTGGAATTGTCCTGTTACAGCTTAGCTTTTGGGGGAGTAGGCGGCTTAGCCAGGATTTGTTTATCTGCCCTGGAAGGAATGTTTCTGTCACATAGTTACTATCACTTGCCATCAGCAATATTAAAAAGCAATCTGCTTTGAGGAGGTCACATGAGACATCAGTGTTTTTTTAAGTTTCATTCTTCCTTTAAGTTTATTATTAATCTGCTGTACAGTATTTTGCCTTTTCCATCTTACCTAATTCTGGAGAGTATTAGGCGCAGGTTGATAAGATTGATAAGACCCAAGGGAACTCCAGAGCGTGCTAAAGCCGCATTGCTTGCCATTGAGAGCGGTGTCTGGCAAGCTTTTCTGCTGCTTATCCAACCAGTTAGGACTTTGGCTTGCAAGGTTAATAGGAAATGAGTAGGATGACTCCCTGCCCCCCAGTGGCTGGTCTGTCCCTCGGCTGTCATCAGCAGTGCCCTGGATTAATACTGCGGACTCGCCTTGCTCAGGAACCTGACACTAAAGTCTGTCTGAGAGGGCTGGCTTGATTCCGACATTCTGTTGCCCAGCATGTCACCTTGGAGCCAGTTCAGTCCCAAGGAGACTCCACTTACCTCCTACCATTTTTATCTCTTTTTTCCCCCTTCCCCAAGGAGATTAGATTGTTTTTATATTCACGCCCCTTGTTATGGACAGGCCAATGAGAATCCAGCCTATTAATCTCCATCTTTTCATTTTAGAGAGAAAAGCTTCGACTTGTCTTATCTTTTCTGATCCCTGTATCCACTCATCCCTGGAGAACATCGTAAAGGTTTCGCCCACAAATATCCAGTCAATTCACTATTCTGTTCTGTGAAGCGCTTTGAGACGTCGAGAAGACGTGAAAAGCGCTATATCAAATGCAAGGATTATTATTACTATATAAACTACTCTCTCTCCAATGTTACACGATCCTTCCTGTTGTACGGCGATTGGAACTGCACACAGTATCCAAATGTGGTCTACCCAAGGTTTTATATAAATGTAATATGACATCCCTACCTTTGTAATCTATTATCTCTGGACATAAAGCCTAGGGCTTTGTTTCTCAGGATTAAAACAAGATCAGGTTGGATTTCTTTTTCACAGAGGGTTGTTACAATGAGGAATCACTCAACTCTATAGTTGAAGCCAAGTCTAATAGATTGAAAAGGAATTGGATAAATACACCAGGAAACTTATTCAAAGGTGCAGAGTAGAGGAGTAGAATTAGGTTGAGAGATCCAGTAGGGGAGGAAGCCCCAGCGCAGACACGATGGGGAGAGAGCAGGGAATGGGATTTGAGGAGAAAGCTCCAGTGGAAGAGCTAGTACCTGCATTGATGGATCAAATGACCTCCTCCCTTCCTGTGAAATAAACCTTCCATGATGTGAGCTTTGGTTTTGGCTGAATAGCCCATTACATTAACTCGCTCTGATGTTTGCCATCTCGAGGCTGTCCAATCCTGGCTCACTTAGCGGCTGTGCTGAAGTCATCAAATTTTAGTTATAAATTATGAGAATCTGTCTCTGCGGTGGTCTTTAGACCTGTAGCGGGTTGGCTATTTGGGTGTTCAGTACTCCAATACGCTTAGTGTTAAATATTATTCTGGGTATTGAAGGGATCAGACTCTCAGGCCAGGGAAAATGCAGGATTATAACAGTGAAATTTCACATCTTGGTTCATTTTGAAATCAAGTCAGAATGTGTTGTTGAGAAGTTTAGTTGGTTGAATATCTTGTGTTGACATCTTTACTGTGCCTCCATTTACCCCAGCTTGGAGACCCACGGAATCCGTCCATTTTTAATTGAGTGTGGCTGTTTGTGTGGGGGGTGGGGAGGGAATTTGGGTGTTAGAAATCTCGGCAGAGAGTGGCTATTTGTAGAGTCCTCGTAAACGAGAGGACCTGGGCTCGATTCCTGGGCAGGGCAGAATGTTGGACAAGTTTCCTTCCTCCACACACCTCAGCTTACCTAGCCGTAAGTAGGAACTCCGTTGTTAGTCGATTGTGGATTGCTTTCCGGGTGTAATAATCCCTTTCTAAAAAAAATAAAATAAAATAATTTGGTCACTCAATCCACTGCTGTGCGCAATTGACTGCCGCGTTTCGCCCACAAAATATAGTCGATACACTTTACAGTGTATTCTGTGAAGCGCTTTGAGACGTTTCGAAGATGTGATAATGCGCTATATCAAATGTAAGGATTACTATTATGACATTATATTGTGTTTGTTTACAGGCCATGCGAACCCCCAGCAGGAATGCTGCTGGCATTGAGCTGCTGATGGAATACTACAACCAACTCTACTTCATTGACAACCGCTTCTTCCCACCCAATAAACACTTGGGCATCTTCTTTCACTGGTATATCTCACTGACTGGTGTCACACAGCTCCTGACTAAGCACCACATGTGCATTGCACCAAACTGGCAATTCTATTCTGAAAAAGATCCCTGAGGCAGTGTGAAGTGCTTTTACTCACTAATGCTGAAAACCTTCCTTCTCTTACCCTCCCTACCCCCACCACCCCCACAATGCCAGCCATAACAAGACCGAATCTGCATTTGATTCTGTTATTAATTGGCCTCAGCTCGGATTCTACACCTTACTGTGGTGTGTGTGACCTGGGCTGTGGGTGTGTGTGATGGGCTGCGGGGTGGGGGTGGGGTGTGTGAATGTGATGGGCTGCGTGTGACGGGCTGCGGGGGAGGTGTGTGCGTGTGACGGGCTGCGGGGGAGGTGTGTGCGTGTGACGGGCTGCGGGGGAGGTGTGCGTGACGGGCTGCGTGGAGGGGGGTGTGATGGACTGCGTGGAGGGGGGTGTGACGGGCTGCGGGCAATGGGCTGTGGGTGGGGGGGGTGGTGTGTGACTGGCTGACTGATGGTTAGCTGGGTGAGCCGTAAAGCTTGTGGCAGTTAGGACACTGTTAGACAGAGACAGTTTGATACTGTGATGGGAGGATGGTGACTGCAGATTCTGCAACGAAGCCACGGAAACCACGTTGGCCGACGTTCTGTTTCCATCCCAACCTTTCACAGTGGCTATTTGGGTTATGTTACTGGAGGCCATTGACTCAGACACCTATTGACCAAAATAAGATTGTGTTCTTCCCTCCTTAAAAAAAAGTTTGTTATTTCTAGAAATGTTGACCTAGGTTCCTACCACCATCTCTCGGCAGGTATGACTCTCTGACAGGAGTTCCTTCCTACCAGAGGGCTCTGGCGTTTGAAAAGGGCAGCGTGCTGTTTAACATCGGCGCCCTGTACACACAGGTGGGTGCCCGGCAGGACCGCACCAGCCTGGAGGGCATCGACCACGCTATCAACGCCTTCCAGAAAGCTGCAGGTAAATAATAATAATAATCCTTGCATTTGATGTAGCGCTTCATCATTTCTTCTAGACCGTCTCAAAGCGCTTCACAGCATATACTCCAAAGTGAATTGACTTTTGTGGGCGAAACCCAGAAAAGCAATCCGCAAATCGACTAACAACCGGGTTCCTACTTACTGCTAGGTATACAGAGGCGTGTGGGGCGCAAAGAGGTACAAAGAGTTTAATCCCAAACACAAGGATGCATACACAAGGAGGGACTTTGAGCTCGTAGTTTGGTTGACTCTACAATCCATATTTTGTTTGGTCAGCCCCACGACTGACACATGCAGAAACCCATCACCGTGCTTAAGAGTATCCAAACCAAACAGAGTTTGGATACTCCTTGACATCCCACCTACAGATGGAAATCCCGTGTATTGGAGTTGAGTGTGGACGGCAGGGCTGTGTCAGGAACTCCCTGTGAGCTTCCTGGTGGGCAATGCTGCCATCTTGCTGAGATACTCGCCCTTCTTCATCCACAAACAGTGGAGGCGAGGAGAGGTGGACATTGCCTCCCCTCCCATGTCCAGTCACTTGTCAATGTGAAATGCTTGTCAAACTGCATTAGTTACAGAGCAGGGGGATTAGTCCTGCGTTAAGATGTTGTACAGATCTGAACAATTTGTGTCCAGACCCACATGAATCCAGTGAACCACAGGTCACAGCAGTCTATTCTTTTCTTTAATATATCGCCATTCAAGAACAGAAGAAGGCCATTCAGCTCGCTCCGTCGCAGTCTGTTCCATGATACCAGGGATGAGGAGAGACTAGAAAGGTTGGATTGTTCTTAAAAACAGATAAGGTTGAGGGGAGATTTAATAGAGGTGTTCAAAATATGAGGGGTTTTGATAAATAAGGAGAAACTGTTCCAACTGCCAGGTGGGTCAGTAACCAGAGGACACAGTTTCAAGATGATTGGCAAAAGAACTTGGGAGATGAGAAGAATTTGGGGTCACAGCCCCAGCCTGACCTCTCCCCACCCACCTGTCACCCACAACACCAGGAAAGGGTGCTGTAGAGTGACGCGAAAAGGCACTGAGACCAGCGAGGACTGAGCTCCACCATAGGACTGCCCACGCCCCAATCTCCAGTAATTGACTGCTCCACTTGAACATTGTTTATCATGTTGATTTTCACAGACTCGGTCCGTTCTGTGCACATCTGCAGGCTATGATTGTTAAAACACAAACTGCCCCAAATCCTGTTTTCCTGTTTGCTGGTTTGTGTGTCAGTAACTTGACTTTCAGTCCCGAAGCTTGTTTGTGTTCTGTGCTGTTTCTGTGGCTTCCATTTTCAGTGTCAGAATAACACAGCGTCCATTCCTCCTAGGGGCTTTGAACTACCTGAAGGAGAACTTCTCGAACGCTCCGAGCTTGGACATGAGCACGTCGTCCCTCAACATGCTGGTGAGGCTGATGATCGCACAGGTGCAGGAGTGCGTGTTTGAGAAGGTGGTGCTGGCAGGCATCAGCGCTCAGTTCCTGGCCCAGCTCCAGAGTGCGCAGGAAGCCGCTCGGGTAAGAGACAGTCCATGGATCCCCCCAGTCCAACACTGATTCCTGCTTATAATGTTACAGCTTCATTTTCCAAACGGTATTAACGGGCTCCAGGAGAATAATAATAATAATAATCCTTGCGTTTGATACAGCGCCTTATCTCGTCTTCGCGACGTCTCAAAGCCCTTCACAAAATATACTGTGAAGTGTAGTGACTGTATATTTTGTGGGCGAAACTCGGCAGCCAGTTGCTGTTTGTGTCCCACAATTGTAAGGTCTTTCAGTGGCAGGTACAACTACGCCAACAACTACGGTTTACATTTACACACGCCTTTCACGTCAGACATATCTCGAAGCGCTTGACAGTTGTGGCTGAACACTGGAGCAGAGGGTGGGAGCTGAGTTGGGTGAGTAGGGGAAAGATGTCCGAAACGCGGTCGAAGAGGTACGTTTTGAGGTGTACCTTTAAAGTGGGGAGGGAGGGATCCAGTCTGAGGTACCTGGAAATGGAATACCAGTGGGCTGATGTTGGGGTGGGTGTGGAGCAGGGAAGGTGGGAGTGTCAGCCAAGCAGAGGGAGCGGGTGGGTTGGTAAGGGTGAAGGAGGTCGCAGAGGTAGGATAGAGCGAGACCTTTGAGGGATTTAAAGGCAAGGATGAGGATCTTGAAACTAGATCCACTGGGGATGGCGAGCCAATGGAGCCGGGCGAGGATGAGGAGTCTAGTGTGGGATAGGACATGAAGTAGGGAGTTTTGGATGGCTTGCAACTTGTAAAAAGGGAAGAGCTGGAGGGGCCGGCGAGCAGAGTATTGGCCTAATCGAACCTGGATGTGATAAAGGTATGGGTGAGGGTCTCGGCGGTCTGAGTGGAGTGGTATGGTGGAGACACAATAATTCAGAGTTGGGATGGAAAGCTGAGTCAGTGAAGAGTCCCAGGAATGAAGGGGCGGCTGAACTGGATTGGTTACTGCCCTCTGCTCAGAAGATGTGCACGTTCCCCCCCACCCTGCACTTCACCTCCTCGCCTCCCCCACCCCACACATTTCCATTTAGTATGAGTGTAAGGTACCCCTTGCTGTCTGACTCTCTGTCTTATTGCTGTGCAGGTGGCAGACGTGTACTCCTTAGTCTATCAGACGATGACCCAGCCGCCAGTGAAAGACTACGTGCCCTTTTCTTGGACGACCATGGTGCAGGTTAAGTCCGAGTACTTCAAAGCTCTCTCCCACTACTTTGCAGCAATTGCGCTCTGCGACCATATAAGTGAGTACTGTACCGTGTTGAGATTGCATGCAGGGCTCCAGTGTGATTGACAAATGCTCATAACATATTGCATAATTAAAGCAAAAATCTATCCATGTGCTTTCCCCACCTCCTACTATCAATAACAAAAATAGAGATAGGCTGCTAAAATAATACAATTTATATTTATACTATGCTTTCATGTCAGAAGGCAGGTGGACATAGCTATCGCAAAACTAATGGAATCTTAGGGTTTATAAATGGGCTATAGAATATAAATGCAAAGAGATGATGCTATACTTGTATCAATCCTTAGTTTAGACCACAGTTAGAATATTGTGTCCAGTCTGGTGCCTTTACCTGCAAACATCCTGCTGTGAGACACAGGGAGAGGAGAGGGAGGGAAATAGAAACTCATTTTACGTAGGAATCCTATAGCTTAGTGGTTAGAGGACTCGCCTCGTAAACATGAGGACCTGAGTTTGATTCCTGGGTTGGGCAAGTTTCCACAGTCAATGCATTTTAGAGTGTATCCTGTGAAGCGCTTTTAGACGTCTCGAAAACGTGATAAAGCGCTATATCAAATACAAGGGTTACTATTATTATTTTTTGCCTCTTTGTCTTTAGTGGGAGCTGAGGACGATGAAAGTGAACACGAGAAGGGGCTTCAGCAGCTACATGTCAGCGCTCCACAGGGACCCTCACTGCTGGCCATCCTGAGGGACCAGGAGGAACGGCGCAAGCTGGGTACTAAACCCTATAAAGTGCAGTGACTTTATGTTTCAGAGGCGATGGTTGCGGCCAATTTGGGCAACATTCACAAACAGCCAAGTAGCAGATTCTGTGAGAAACGGGAGGTGTCAGAGCCTCTAGTCTCAGTCTGGCTTTCTGTGAAGCGCTTTGAGATGTCTCGACAACGTAATAAGGCGCTATATCAAATGTAAGGATTATTATTATTTTTCGGCTAGGTTCGCCCACACAGACGGTCACTGCACTTACAGTAAATTATATGAAGCTCTTTGGACATCCTCCTGACCTGAAAGATGCTGTCCCGAAAGTCAAAATTATTGTAATAAATACTGGCTAGTGCAACTTTACTGTTTTTCTTTGTCAGCCTTCTTTGACATGTGTAGAAACCCATTAATCCGCTTAAGAATATCCAAACTAAGCTCTTGAGTTCCCTGGAGGGAACATCCTGCTTCCGGAGAGAATTAGGCCAGGTTGGCAAGAGACCCCAGAGTGTACGTTGGGGTAACTGCTGGAGTCTGACCAGCTAAAACCGCATAGCTTGCCATTGAGACCCCTGGTCTGGCAAGCTTACCGCTGTTTGTCCAGCTAGGACCACGCTAAATTTAGGGCTATTTTATCTGCAGGAGGCTGAGAATCTGAAGCTCCCGCCGTCGTGGCCTCTCTTCACAGATGTTCTTTTCTGTCTCTCCTTAGGGAAGGCTCACTTGAAGAAAGCCATCATTAAGCACGAGGAGGCTCTGCGGATGCACGGGCTGTGCAAGATCCTGAGGAAGATGGATGTTCTGCAGGAGGTGCTAGCCTTGGCCCACAAGCGCTCACTCAACAAGTACTCACACATCGACCATGAGGAGGACTTCTTCGACACCATCGAAGCTCCAGAAATTCACCGTTAGTTTGTTTTTCCATCCCTTTCCCCCCACCTTGTGTGTGTGTGTGTGGAAGAGAGAACTGTGCGGAAAAACATTGTCTGTAAAGAAGGGATTTGGCCCATTATGTCTGTGTGACTGTTACCCAGGGGTTTTGTAGCATGGCTTACTGTAGCTAGTGATAGAGCACTCGCCTCGCCAGCGAGTGAGCCCGGGTTCCATTTCCGGGCAGGGCGAAACCTTAGGCAAGTTTCCGTACTCCACACACCTCTGTTTACCGAGCAGTAAGCAGGAACCTGATTGTTAGTCGATTGGAGGATCCCTTTCCGGGGGTAATTATCCCTTCAAAAATTAAAAAAAAAACTAAGATAGTAATTTGGTCACTCAATCCACGACTGTTTGTGGGACACTGCTGTGCAGAATTGGCTGCGTGTTTCGCCCACATTATATACAGTCAATTCATTTTACGGTATATTCTGTTGAAGTGCTTTGTGACGTCTTGAAGACGTGATAAGGCGCTATATCAAAAATGTGAGGATTATATATTATAACGTCGCTCACTTCCCATATCCCCTTCCTGGTATTCCTGTTCGGGTGTTAGTCACTTTGGAATAGTTGCCTGAATTCAGCCACTGGTGACAGTGAGATTCAAATCCAGACAGCCTTACAGGTCTGCTCACTTCAGACATCAATGTGTCTGTGGCAGTTGATCCCAGATTAGGGCTTTTGGCTGACGGTTAGCATCATATTGCAATTTTACTATAAAAAGGAACTGATGTCCCACAAAATGTCAGTCAAATGCCCTTGATCAATATATCAGGGATATCCAATGCATCACTAAAGTTACCCTGTTGACTCTTAATACAGAATATGGGGAGCCATGCCATGCCACGGACATCCCCACGATCCAGACAGTCAGTTAATGTCACTCTTTCTTCACAGCAAAAACACAACAGAAGCCAGAAATTAAAACTCCAAACTTCTGCAAGGTGAAAGTCACAGATATCTTCCACCGATTGGTAAGTGCAAACAGTGTATGGTCTAGTAAAAGGATGGCATTTGAAGTTGTCTTCACATACCTACGCTTTTTGTTCATGTAATCTGTAATATTTTGCACAGAGCGTCACATTAGATAACTGGCTCAAAAGGCTTCACAAAGCGTTTTGTGCACACTGCCACATTGGTTTACCTGAAAGACACTGTATCAATGTTAGTATGACAACAACAGCTTTCACACAGTTCAATGAAGCTGTTTTCAGAGATGGGGTGGGAGATGGGAAATGACCAAAGAAACATTCAGAAGTAGGGTTTTTAGAAGCGTTGGAAAGTAGAGAGGAAGGTGCATTCTGTTAGGGTCAATGTGGTGGTTAGGAATTCAGAACAGCCCCAATGAGGATATGAAAATGTCTGTAAATCATGTCATTGGAGTAATAATCCTTAATTTGGTACAGCGTTTTTTACACTGGGAGGACATCTTGAAATACTTCACATGTACTACTGTACAGTGGAGTGACTGTGTTTTGTGGGCGATTGTGTCAGTGCTACAGAGAGCTGCAGGTTAATGTGCTCACGCTCCACTCAATTAAAGATTGTTTGAAATTGTAGGCAAATCACTGCACTGGACACCTTTTGCCACCTGAGCTCCCAGGTTTTATACTGTACTGGCATGTGTCAAATGCAAGGATTATTATTATTATTATGTGGAGTGCTGCAGCTTAGTGCTTGGAGCACTCACCTTGCAAGTGAGAGGACCTGGGTTCAATTCCTGGGCAGGACAAAACGTTAGGTCATTTTCCTTACCCACACGCCTCTGTAGTTATGAACTCGGTTGTTAGTTGATTGGCGGATCACTTTCTGGGGGTAACAATCCTTTCAAAAAATTTTGCTTTAATAATAATAATTTTGTCACTCAATCGAATCTGCTGCGTTTCACCCACAAAATATATAGTCAATTCACTTTATAGTATATTCTGTGAAGTGCTTGAGATGTCTAGAAGACGTGGTAAGGCACTGAATCAAATGTAAGGATTATTATTATTATTATTTTCAACATTTTTGGGGTGTGGATCTTCACAGGCATTAAATGATAAATTATTGTTGTTATTAAAAAAAAATCTGGACCTCGCCTAGGTCTCAGTCAGGCATTTCTGTTACCTGCTGCTCGAGAGGAATCATCCGTTTTCTTTTTTAACCTCACTCCCCAGGGACCATTGGCCGTTTTCTCTGCCAAGAACCACTGCAGCCCGGCCAGGACCGTCCACCTGGAGAGGAGTGAGTGGGGGTTCGGCTTCACGCTGCGCGGAGATTCTCCCGTGCTGATTGCTGGAGTCATTCCCGAGGGATGTGCAGATGTACGTATGTTTAGATGGGAAATCTGAAATATCAGAGTGAGAGGGCTGCTGGGATCAGGAACACAAGGAGCAGTTATAGACAATGCCCTTGAGAAGGGCTCGCTTTTGCACATTTTATTTTGGGACACTCCTCATTAGGCAGCTCTGTTCTTCACTGTGTCTGCTGCTGGAGCTTCACCCAATGGTGTCTGTGCCTGGTGCTCGTTTCCCATCATGTCTGTGCTGTTGCTCACTCCCCCATTGGAATTCTCTACTCTAATCCCATTCCCTGCACGCTCCTCATCATGTCTGTGCTGGTTGTCGCTCCCCCACTGGAGCTCTCTTCTCTAGTCCCATTTCCTGCTCTCACCCCATCATGTCTCTGCTCACCCAATGCAACACTGCAGTCACATCCCATCATGTCTGTGCTGGTGCTCGGTCCCCCATTGCAGCTTTTCACTGTAATCCCCCTGCTCTTTCCTTGTGCTCGTTCAGAATTTTGCTTCTGTATGCATTCAGTTCCCTTTTGACTTGTGTTAGGCTGGCCAGTGTGTAACATTCCTGCAGTGGAGAAGTACTGGTGCTGGTGGCAACAACAACAACAAAATTACATTTATAGAGTGCCTTTCACGTTGGGAGGATGTCCCAGAGCGCTGTACAATCAGGTGTCGGGGCCCGAGCATGGGGGAGGGGTGGTGTAGGGGTGAGGGAAGGCAGAGAGGTGGAAGGGAGACCAAAGGCACGGTCGAAGAAGGATCTTGAGACCGGCCTTGAAGGAGGTGAGGGAGGAAGCGAGGCGAAGGGACCGTGGGATGGAGTTCTAGAGTGTGGGCAGAGAGGCTGAAAGTCCGGCCACCGATGGTAGGTCGGGCGGGAGACATGGAGCAGGCCAGAGCCCGATGAACGGAGGGAGCGGGCAGGTTGGTAGGGAGTCAGCAGGTCAGAGAGGTAGGAGGGGGCAAGGCCATGAATGGCCTTAAAGATGAGGCCGAGGATCTTGAACTCGATCCTCTGGGGGATGGGGAGCCAGTGGAGTCGGGCGAGGGTGGGAGTGATGGGGTCACGGAGCCTGGTGCGTGAGAGTATACGAGCGGCAGAGTTTTGGATGATCTGCAGCTTGTGAAGCGAAGAATTGGGAAGGCCAATGAGGAGGGAGTTCCCATAATCGAGCCTTGATGTGGCACAGCAGGAATTGGGTACGACGTTGTTTGGATGTTTGCCTGTTTGTGCTGAGGCTGCTGAAGGAGGCATTTTATTAATCGGTGTTTGTGTTGGTGGGAGATGGAGGTTGCTCAGGCTGGCATGTGTTTTAACATTGGTAGGAAGCAGGTCTGAAGGAAGGTGACTACATTGTGACAGTGAACGGGACGGACTGCCGGTGGGCCAAGCACGCTGAGGTGGTGCAGCTCCTGAAGAGTCTCAGCACTGAGGGGGTCAGCGTGTCTGTGATCACCCCGAACATCTCCGAGCAACACAGCGTGGTGAGCTTTCACTCTCCACAACATCGGCTTAACATTCTAACATCTCGCGGATTTACTTACGAACAGGAGGAGGCCATTCAGCCCCTCGAACCTGTTCCGCTATTCTATTAGATCACTACTGATCTGTACCTCAACTCCAATTTCCTGCCTTTGGCCCATATCTCTTAATACCCTGACCTAACAAATATCTAATCCACCTCAGTTTTGAAACTGTGAATGGATCCAGCATTCACAGTCTTTTGTGGGAGAGCGTTCCAGATTTCCACTACCCTTTGTGTGTTTCCTAGTTTCACTCCTAAATGGCTTAGCTCTAATTGTAAGATGATGCGAAATTGGAAAATTCTTAACTCAGTGTTAAGTTGGCAGCTGCTTTTCTTTTTAAGAACTGTGGAAAATGTGACGTCCACATTAATATTGCATTTAATGATTTTCCCAAAATCCTGCATGACCTTAAAGCAGTGATTGTGAAAGAGGAGGTGTGCAAATGGTTTACACAACTAGATTATTATATCTGTGGTCTCAACGTGGCTCAGTGGTATCGTTCTCACCTCAGAGCTGGAAGGTTGTAGATTCAAGCCCCACATCAGGGACTTTGAGCTCACAGTCCAGGTTGACACTCCCAACACTACCATGTGAGTTGCTGTCCTTCAGATGAGGCGTTAAACCAAGCTCCTGTCCCTGCCTGTTCAGGTAGATGTTAACAATCACATGGTCCTAGTGGAAAAGAGAAGAGAGTTTCCTGGTTTCCTGCTCGACAATCCCCCAGATAAAATTCGTCACTTGCTCCAAGGCTGTTTGTGGGACACTGCTCTGGTGCAAATTGTCTGTTGCGTTCGCCCACAAGATCATTGGACTTTACAGCAAATCCTGTGAAGCACTTTGAAACATCTCCACGAGATAATATTTACCCCCAATGACATGTGGCTTGTCTCCACAGCAGGCCGAACGGAAATCCCTGCTGGGCCCCACGTCCTCAGCCGGCGACAAGGAGAACAGCAGGAAAATGACGGACAACAGCAGAAGCTCAGGCTCGCTACTTACCTGGAACAAAAGGAAAACCACCAGCAAAGGCGGCAGCACGTGTAGCCTGCCCTTCATTGCTGTCAGAGACAACGGATCCTTCTACTGAGAAACCGGTCAGCGCTGCCCGTGTCGGGCAGTGTCACTGTCAATCGCACATCCGCAAGGGCTGCAGGCTGCCCGCACCACTCACCCTGGGGCTGCCGAGGGCTGGTCCTTTCCTCCACACTGAATCTGGCACGGCCATCCTTCTCTTGTGTCGTCGTTTTCTGCCCCAGAGAATCACAGGAATGTCAGCGTGCACTGGACTTCCTGCTGCCAGTGCTGGGCCAGCAATCCGCTCCAATCTCATTTTCCTTCCATTCAATTGAAACAGCCCGACAATCCCACCAGAAAACAAACTGGAGCAAATGTGGCCTCTATAAACATCCCGTTTCAAACCTGCTGGCTCAGATAGATAGACCGTCAGATAGATAGTCACTCGGGTAGACTGAATGACACGATCCTTCAACTGGATTACACACAGTCTTGGGCCAGAAATTCCACCGAGTCCCAGCTGTAAGATCATTTTGTCTTCAAGTTTAACATGGTGCAGGATTGTGGAAAATGTCTTAAATTTAGTCTGAACTTAGCGTGGTTGTGTGTCAACCCGGCTCAGTGTGTGGCCGTCTGGCTCAGTTGGTAGCACTCTTGCCTCTTGAGTCAGATGGTTGAGGGACTTGGAATTCACAGATGACTCTCCAATGCAGTGCTGGGTGAGGTGTTACATTGTTGGAGCCGCCATCCTTTAAATGAGACATTAAACCGTCTGTTCAGATGCACATTAAAAATTCCATAACACTATTGGAAAAGAAAAGGGAGATTCTCTCCCAGTGTCTTGGCCAACAATCCCTAGATACAATTGATCATTCACTTTATGCGACTCTAACACCCCCATCCTCGCCGGGCTCCACTGGTTCCCCATCACTCAGGATACAGGTCAAGATCCTGGTCCTCACCTTCAAAGATCTCCAACGGCATTGCTCCCTCCTACCTCTGTGACCTCCTAACACTCCACCAATCTGTCCCCTTTCTCCGCTCAGCGGGCTCTGGCCTGCTTCACATCCCCCGCCTTACCCGCCCCACCATTGGTGGACGGGCCTTCAGCCACTCTGCCCCCACCCTCTGGAACTCCATCCCCCAGTCCCTCTGCTTCTTTGCCTCCTTCAAGACCTGTCTCAAGACCCTCCTCTTCGACCGTACCTTTGGTAATCCTCATCCCAACCACCAGTTCGGGTGTGGATCCCTAACTGTCCATCATTTTGGGACGACCTCCTGACACCAAGGGAGCTATCCGAATGTAACTTGTTGTTGTTTATGGCTGTTTGTGGGACATTGCTTTGTGCAAATGGGTTTGCCTACAAATACATTGCATTTTACAGTATGTCCTATGAAGCGCTTTGAAATGTCCTGATGTGAACGGCGCTGGATCAAAGTGTTCCTAAGTGCTTTGTTGCAGATCATTTCAGTGATCCAATGCCAGTCTAAACCCTGAGCCTTCCTTCACCCCCTTTCCTGCTACAATCAGCGCTGAGTGTGGGCAGTCATATTCCGATTGACTTTATCCCCTTCTCTGACCTTCCCCATCCTGACAGTTGTTGGTTTGGTTCAGGAGTGTCCAACCTTTTAACTGCCGATGGCTGTTTTCTGTTTTTGAGAAAGGTCTGCGGGCCGCATAAGCAAAATTTTGTTTCCTTTCCAGAAACAACATAATTTACACAGCAGCTTTTTCACTTCATAGGACGTCTCAAAGCTCTCGACACTCCTGGATGGGCACCTGAGCTCGGGATGGGAGCAGGGATGCAAGGGAAAAAGATGACAGAAAGTGCAGTCAAAGAATTAGGTCTTGATGTGCCTTGAAAGAGGGGAGGGAGAGAGCGAGTTTGAGACACTCCAGGAATGGAACTGCAGACAGAGGGGGTAAAATGGCGATGGTGGGGCAGGAGACATGAAGCAAGGTGATGATTACTGGGCAAAGGGAACGGCCAGGTTGGGAGGTGGCAAAGGTAGGATGGGGACGGGAGGGAGGGAAATGAAGGAAATAGAGGAGTTTCTCACTGGGGAAAGGGGGAGATTTCTGTGAGGAAAATGCATGGCACGGCGCTTGGTGTCTGGTTTGGCAGATCTAATCTCATCCTTCCAGAATGCGCACCCTACTGACCCCCGGCTCAGCTTTGAGCTGCTTTTTAATGAGTCCCAGGATCCTGACCTCAACTCCCCTTCAGTCTATTAGTACTTTAAGTGCTGTTTGAGTCCTTGGGGTCCCTCACAGTTACTTGCTGTATAATGGCTGCTAGTGGCAGAGGGAGAGTGGGGGTGAAGTTGTTAGAGGGAGTGTGTGTGAGATATTGCTCATACATTTTATTTTATTGATGAACAAACTCAGTAAAAACAGTCAATGCTGAACCCAATCAGAAATTTTCAGCCTAAAGCAGGTCATTTGTGACTGAATATAAGAAATCTTAGACACAAAAAGACCAAGGTCCATGTAGTTCGCCTTCTACCTTCCTGGTGGTCGCATGCACATATATCCCAAGCTATCTATGTATTATATCCCACAATGTTATTTCCTAAAAGAAAACTATCTGATCTGTGTTTGAAAGAATCAACACTTCCTGCTTCAACTGTCTCCCTTGGTAGCCTGTTCCATAGGTTCACTCTTCACTCACTGAAATAGTATGTGGGTAGATTTTTCTGAGTTTTTCAATTGCAGCCCGTGTCCTCTGGTTTTACTATTCTGGACAAGTTGAAACAGCCTGTCATGATCTTTATTGTCTTGCCCCTTTAGAATCTTAAAAACGGATATCATGTCGTCTCTCAATCTTTTCTTTTCTAGCCCAATTTACTTTAGTCGCTCCTCATAGTCCAGTTCCTCCATTCCCTCAGTCATTTTGGTTGCCCTCCTCTGTATCTTCTTGATTTTTCCAATATACCTTTTGTACTGCAGCGACCAGAACTGTATACAGTACTCTTAAGTATGGTCTCACCACTGATTTATACAGTGGCAGGATTACCCCACTATTTTGGCTTGCTGTTGATCTTTTGATACATCCCAACATCTGGTTTGCTTTACTCACTGCCACAGAACATTGTTGGGAGAGCTTCGATTGATTGTCAATCAGGCTCCTCAGGTGCTTTTTATTTTCCATATATAATAGTCCCTTCCAGGATTTCTGTCCCCATGTGCAGTACTTTATATTTCTCCACATTGAATTTCATCTGCGACCGATCTGGCCAATTCCTAAGTATGTTCAAATCCTCCTGTAACCTATCTTGTTCAGCTTTGCAATTTACCACCTTCATTAGCTTGGTGTCATCTGCAAACTTAGCCCCTGTGCTTGCGACTCCTAGTTCCAGATCATTTATAAAAAATATTAAACAGAGATCCCAAAACATACCCTTGTGGAACTCCACTGGTAAAATTTTCCCAGTCTGATGACATTCCCTGTAGCTCCATCCTCTGAGTTCTTCCGGACAACCAGTTGCATATCCATTGTAATATATCTCCACTGATTCCCGCTTTACTTTCAGTACCAGCTTCTCAAGAGGAACTGTATCAAAGACATTGCTGAATTCCAGATATACAACATCCACAGCCTTACCTTTATCAAGCTCCCTTGTCACACCGTCAAAGAAAACCAGTAAATTGGATTAGCAAGACCTCCCGTTCTCCCAATAGGGTCCCTCCTAAACAGTTTATAACCTTCCAGATGCTTATCCCATTGATTGGATTCATTCCACCATGTCTCTGTGACGCTAATTATGTCCAATGTGTCTTCCCCTACAAGACCTTCAGATCACACATTTTGTTTGTCAGACTTCTTGCACTAATACAAGTACAGCTCCATTGTTTTTCTCCTAGTTATTTTTTTTTGTTTATTTTTCGTCAACCTTTGGAGTTAGACCTGTTACACTGGTAGCTTTAAGGAGTTCCTTAATCGGTTTGGGTGCTCTCTTATACCTACCGCAACCACCCCTGTGTCAAGTTTAAACCCTTTAAAGCTTGCCTAGACCTGGGTAAGAATCACTGATGTTGGAAGCTGCAGAGGTAGTTGCAGACTGAGATCAGTAGTTTATTCATTGCTGCTGTGGTCAGAGTTGGGGAAGAGGAGGGAGAGAGGAGTAGTCCAGGTGTGGGCATGGTTATATTCTGTCATTTTTGCTTTTTTGTTGGTCTTGCCGGGTGTCTTGACACATACGGAAACCCATCACCGTATCCAAACCAAGCATGAGATTTCCATGTATCCCACCTACAGGTGGAAATCCAGGAAATAGATTGTTGGAATGGAATGCGCACTCTCTCCCTGAGCTTCCTGCTTACCTAATTCCGGAGTGTATGAGGCGCAGGTTGGCAAGAGCCAAGACTGTGCTGTCATCAGCAGTACTGTGGACCTGCCTGGCTCAGATTGCTTGATTCCCTTCGGAATATCTGTTATTTTCCCAGGAGCTAGAGTAGGTGCACAAGGTGTACAGTTCAGGCATTCAGCATTAACCATGGCAACACGAGAGAGCAGTATGGAGTGACATGATGAATGCCTGTTTAATATTTTAATTGTACATAGCAATAATTGGGATAGTAGAACTCTCTTCCCAGTGAGTTGCTGGGTGCCAGGGCTGGCTCGGAGTGAGTGCTGTCTGGGGTGGGAGTTATCCTGGCTTCTTCCATAAGCAGCAGTTTTCAGTGAGGGGTACAGTGCTTAAATCTGCCAAGTGACCATTGAACATTGTTTATTTCCTGTCTCTCACTGTGAATACAGAGCAGAATAGACTCCAATGGAGATGAACTGACAACAGATTGAAGGAGGAATTAGATAGATATCTACTGATCATATCGATCGAGGGATAACTGAGGAGGATTTTACTCTTCACCAGGGACTAACCAGAAGATCCACAGTATTTCTCCAGCCCTGCACATTCCTATATACAAGTTGTTTCTGGAACTTATCAAGTCTTTGTATTGGGCATATCGGTGCAGTGTGAATGGCTCACCCAGCATCCCCCCCCCCGCCCCCATGATAATGTCGGGAACTCTGAGGCAATATCTCTTGCTCTTATTGAGATTCGTGGCTGCTTTGTTGCTTTTTTAAGAAAGAAACTCTTTCAATTTCACAAATAATTTTGCATTTGAGACTCTTGTAGTTTGTTAGAGGGTGAGAACTTCCATGGAGCAGTCCTCGCTCTAATCCTATTCTTCAGCGTTTCTGTATTTGAGGACTGATTGGATTTAATTCTGTGCCTTTCGCGTCAGGAGGACGTCTCAAAGTGCTTCATAAGGTTTTCGGTGGAGGTTAGTGACTGCAAAGTTTTGTAGGCAAACACGAGGGCAGCAGAACAAGAGGCCAGAGCTTCACCACAGCCACCAGGATGTATTTCTTTACCCGGGGTGGGGAGGGGGGTGGGTGTTATTGGGAAGTGTTGTAGAGGCCAGGGTGTTTGCTGCACTGTAGGGTGTGGCAGCAAGATAGGGGGCTGTACTTTAAACCAAATCCGAGGACACATGAAAATAATTGAACTCCCCACAATCCCTGGCGGTGACTGGAGAAGTGTGTTGTGTTTCTCTGATGAGTGTCTCTGGTTTACAATGTTGTTATTCTCGCGCAGTTTGGTGCTAAACTCCATACG